TTCCTTCTTTACCACTACACCATAATGCTGAAAATCAACAGAAGAAAGATATAAAAATGGGGGGTGGCAAATACTTGGAGGATGAATAAATTTCTTCTCCAAAAAGAGTAGGTACTGGCCCAAATTAGCAACAGAATTAGGAAGTTTCTAGAAACTAATGAGAATGAGAATACAACATACCAAATCTATGGGCTACAGCAAAGGCAGTTATCAGAGCCTGTTTGATAGTGATAAATGCACCTATGAAGAAGGAAGAGAGCCTTATGGTTGATACTGTATCACAAAACCTTCAGCAGTTGGAACAGAGTTAACAGACTAATCCTTCTAATAGCAAAAGAAAAGAAATTATAAAAATCAGGGCGGAGATAAACAAGCGGGAACATTTTTTAAAACATTTTTTAATGCAAAAAATCAACACAGTAAAAAGCTGGCTCTTCGAAAAGATTAATAAAACCGACAAACCATTAGCAAACCAAACAACAGATAGGAAGGAGCAGACATCAATATCCAGGATAAGGGATGAAACAGGGGAAATTACAACAGACCCTAATAAAATTAAAAGACTAATTACACCGTACTACAAAAGTCTGTACTCCAATGAATACAACAATTTGGAAAGCATGGACAAATACCTGAAAAAACAAACCCTCCACAAATTATCTCATAAAGACATCAAGAACCTAAACACACCCATAACAAAAGAAGAAATAGATAAGGTCATCAAGGAACTACCAACTGAAAAAAAATCCCAGTCCAGATGGCTTCACAAGAGAATTTTACCAAGCATTCAGGGAGGAGCTGACAGCAATTCTTCACAATCTCTTCCAGAGCATAGAAAAGGATGATCAATTCCCAAACACATTCTATAAAGCTAGTATAACACTGGCACCAAATCTGGGCAAGGATCCCACAAAAATAGAGAACTATAGGCCAATATGTATAATGACTATTGATGCAAAATCTTTAACAAAATTTTTCCCAATAGAATACAAAAGTATATAAAATGAATAATTCTCATAACCAAATGGGATTCATACCAGGGATGAAGAGATGGCTCAACATCAGAAAATCCATCAACATTATCCACCACATTGAGAACAAAGAGGGTAAGAACCACATGATAATATCAATAGATGCAGAAAAAAGCATTTGGCACCGTTCAACACCCATTCTGAATAAAGACACTGAAGAAGATAGGATTGAAAACAAATTACCTCAATTGAATACAAGTGATATATTAAAAACTAACAGCCACCATTACAATTGATAGAGAAAAGATTGAAATATTCCCACTGAAAAAGGGGACCAGACAAGGATGCCCCTTGTCCCCACTTCTATTCAACACGTTCTAGAGATCCTAGCTAATAACATAAGGCAACGGAAAGACATCAAAGGTATTCATTTGGGGAAAGAAGAAATGAAGTTATTGTTATTTTCAGATGCCATGATTTTATATAGAGAGAACCCCAAAGGTTCCAAAATATGAGTGCTGGAAGTGATAGAGGAATATGGTAGTGTGGCAGGATACAAGATCAACAAGCAGAAGTCAATTGAATTGCTATGTACAACTGATTGGATTACAGAAAAAGAAATCAAGAAGGCAGTACCCTTCACAATAGCCAAGCAGAAATAGAAATATCTAGGGATATATCTAACAACCACAAAAAATATCTGTACAAGGAAAACCTATAGAACATTATCACACACAAAAAACCAAAAGGGTCCTTCACAAATGGAATAATATCCCATGCTCGTGGACTGGAAGACTCAATATTGTAAAGATGTCAATTCTACCTAAGGCACTATATTAATTCAATGCAATCCCGATAGAAACACCAGCATCTTTTTTCAAAGAAATGGAAAAACTCACTACCAACTTCATATGGAATGGGAAGAAGCCCAGAAATGGCAAAGAGCTACTCAAGAAGAAGAATGAAGTGGTAGGTATTATATGACTTGACTTTAAAACGTATTATCCAGCCTGAGTTGTCAAAACAGCATAGTAATGGTATAATGATACATACATGGACCAATGGACAGGAACAGAAAACGCAGAAGTAAAAATAGCAGCTTCCAGAAAACTGATCTTCAATAAGGGCCCCAAAAATATCAAATGGGAAGTGGATGCCCTTTTTAACAAATGGTGCTGGGAAAACTGGATATCCACCTGCAGAAAAATGAAGCAAGGCCCTTACCTCACTTCACACAAGAACAAATCTAGGTGGAACACAGATCTTGAGATAAAACCCCAAATTATCAGGATTATCAATGAGAAAATTAGGACAAAGCTAAGAACCTTAGCGCAAGAAATACATGGGCTATCAGAAATAAGGAAGGATACACACTCAAAGGAAGATAAAATGATGAGTGGGACATACTATAGATAAAACCCTTGTGTACATCAAAAGGCTTCATTGAGAGAGTAATAAGAGAGCCCACAGACAGGGAAAAGATATTTAGCAATGACATATTAGTGTTTATTACTAAAATCTACAGAATCCTGCTAGCTTACAATAAGAAAAAAAAACAGCCCGGTGATGAAGATTCACAAGGGAGGAAACCCTAATGGCCAATAAACATGAGCAAATGTTCCTGATCATTAGCCACCTGGGAAATGCAAATTAAAACAATCATGTTACCACCTAACACCCACCAAGATAGCTCAATAAAAAAAATCAGAAAGCAAAAAAGATTGGAGGGGGTGTGGTAAGATAGGAACTCTCATTCACTGCTGGTGATCTTGTAGATATGTGCAGCACTGTGGAAAGCGATTTGATGATACCTAAAACATTTTGGAAATCAAGCTACCTTATGACCCAGCAATCCCACTACTGGCCATAAACCCAGAAGAAATGAGAAACAGACCACAATCAGACATCTGTGCACCAATGTTCATTGCTGCACAGTTTCCAATTGCAAAGAATTGGAAACAGCCTAAATTCCCATCAATAGACGAATAGAATAAAAAACTCTGGTACATCTACACAATGGAATACTACGCATCCCTAAAAATTAGTGATGAAAAGATGAAGCACCTCATCTCGTGGAAATCGTTGGAGTATATTATACTGAGTGAAGTTAGGTAAGCATAAAAGGACAAGTACAACATTAGTCCACTGAGGTAAGTTCAAACAGCAGTATGGGCATAGGGGGAAATGCACATAGCACACAGTTCCCCAGGCTGAGGACAGATACTCTGGCATGAGCCAGGCCAAACCCTACAAGTCATACATCATTAAAAATAAATAAGATGCAGATAGTACCTGTGCTGAAAGACATCTCCCCCGCCCCCCATACCTTTATGGTCCACGGAAGGATGGGAGAAGAAAAAAGATGGCAATTGGGCTTCAGGGCACTAATCCACCCATGGGGAGGGTATTGTTTATGTCTCCACAGGAAAGGCACAGAGAGAGTAGACCTCATTCCGGTGTGCCAATTCTTGAGGTCGACATTCCTGCTCTGAGCAACTCATTCACAGAGAGGACTTCAGGGTGAGCCTCAGTTTGAGACACTCTTGGCACAAGGAGTGTTCCTCTCAAGCACACATGAATAGTGCTAGTTGGAAGCCAGGTTCTTTCACTTCCTATGTCAAACCTTGCCCAGTAGGCATATATTTTCCCATCAAACCATCACAGACCACAGGTTCCAGTTCTTACTCTCCCCTGGGCTTTTTCCAATCTGGAAACAAAATTTTTTTTGTTTTGTTTTTTGGAAACAAAATCAGTGTTTCTAGTTTTGCTTTTGCTTTTTTAATCATTATATTGGGGGCTCATACAGGCCTTATCACAATCCATCGATCCATCCATCGATCCATCCATCCATTGTGTCAAGCACATTTGTACATTTACCAACTGTACATCATCATTTTCAAAACGCTTTCTTTCCACTTGAGCCCTTGGTATCAGTTCCTCATTTTTCCCTCCCTCCCCACCCTCTCTCCCTCATGAACCCTTGATAATTTATAAATTATTATTATTTTTTCATGTCTTACACTGACCGCTGTCTCCCTTCACCCACTTTTCTGTTGTCCATCCCCCTGGGAGGGGCTTATATGTAGATCACTGTGATTGGTTCCCCCTTTCTCCCCCTACTTTCCCCCTCCCCTCCTGGTACTGCTACTTTCATGATTGATCCTGAGGGGTTTATCATGTTTCTGGTTTTTTATCTCATCTGAAATGGAGGAGTACATCACCAAGTCAGCCAACATGGATAGCTCCCCCTGATCTTTCTCCTAATCCTTTCTTCTGAACTCTAAGGACCCTAAATTTTTTATAAAATTCTGGACCAGCTAACTGACCATTCTATTCCGTTTTCTTTGTTTTTACATGGCACTGGGTAGAACAGGGCATAGGAGGGAAATTGTTTTGCCTCACACTCTCCTCTTAGGAACAACTTCAGTGTGTTTGAAGGAAAACTCACTGATTTGTTTTTTGGTGTTTTTTTTTTCCTGTGCTGGCCACCAGTTCCTAATATCACAGTGACCCCCATAACATTATTTCTTTCAGTCTATTTACTCCACAGTGAAAATATCATTCCTTTCCCACCTTCCAACAATAATAAAGACAAATTACCACGAATCCTTAATATTCCTTGATTATAGTTAACCCTAAGACGGGGAGTTTCATTGAACCAAAATCAAATCACTGAGTTCAAACAGAAAACTGATATTTAGGACTATAGGATTCAAGTCTAGTTTGTGGTTTCAAGAAAAAACAAAACATAGTTGAAGCAGGGCCCCAAACAAATCTCTATTCAATTTAACCTGGGACATTTATAGGGCTTGTCTACTGAGCCAAAACTGGGAGATAGCATTAGGTCAGGAGTTGCCTGCAAAGAGACCCTTCAAATCTAATCATCCCTTGGAAGTGACTTCCAGTCATATTCCCTTGGAGTGCATAGTAGTATGTGTAGGAGACCTCGCTGATGCCTGAGACACAGCTATGGTCACATACAGGGTTTGAAACTCACAGACAGATGGCCTCTCCATATTGTCTTCTCACCTGGGAAGAGAACACGGCTGATCATTCCAGGGAACACCATCATGAAAAGGGGAAGCACCTTCAGGTATGCAGCCAACAGAGAGCCTCCTTTGGCATGGGACAGGTTCTTGGCAGCCAGGGTCCGCTGAACAATCACCTGGAAGACAATGAGGATGGTTGGAAGCTGATATGGCTTTATCTAAAAGGGCAAATTAAGGGTGCATGGGAGTCCTGAAGTGGTGTAAACTGTTAAGGTGCTTGATAGCTAATCCAAAGATTGAGGTTCAACTCCATCCAGAAGTGCCTGAGTAGAAAAACATGGTGATTTACTTCTAAAAAATCAACTGTTGAAGCCCTATAGGCACTCTGTTATAGCAAGAATGGGGTTCCCATGAGTCAGAATCAACTTGACAGCAACTGGTACTGACACTTGTGTATATATCTTCTTGACAGATATAGGGGATTAAAATATCTGCTTGCCTGATTTCATTTTGAGGAAGCAACTCTTTTCTATTCTAATTCTTTGGGGTTCAATTGGAGGAGCTATGACTTCTATCCTGCTTCCTCATCACTCCTTTATTCAGGAGTTGGAGTACTCTATAGAAGTGCTCCACTTCCACCCAAAGCCCATCTGCAGGCAACTGGACACACACTTACAGAAGGGTCACAAGGAAGCGACGAGCCAGCCAGGATGCAACATAGCACTGATGAAACATACACCTTTCCTCTAGTTCTTTGATGCTTCCTCCCCCCTTTCCCACTATCATGATCCCAATTCTACCTTGCAAATCCAGCTAGACCAGAGTATGTACACGGGTACAGATAAGAGCTGGAAACACAGGGAATCCAGGACAGAAAACCACCCCAGGACCAATAATGAGAATAGCAATACCAGGAGGGTAAGGGAAAGGTGGGGAGAGAAAGGGGGAATCAATCACAATGATCTACATATAACCCCCTCCCTGGGGGATAGACAACAGAAAAGTGGGTAAAAGGTAGTATCAGTCAGTGTAAGACATGAAAAAATGATAATAATTTATAAATTATCAAGGGTTCGTGAAGGAGAAAGGTTGGGGGAGGGAGGGGAAAAATGAAGAGCTGATACCAAGGGTTTAAGTAGAAAGCAAATGTTTTGAGAATGATGGTGGCAACAAATGTACAAATGTGCTTGACACAATGGATAGATGGATGGATTGTGGTAAGAGTTGTATGAGCACCCAAATAAAATGATTGTAAAAACAAACAAAAAAAGAAGTGCTCTACTTCCCAGCCTACCATCATTGATTAAAGAAAGGTATACAATGTCCTCACACCAGGTCAATTAAAGCTCTCCATGGGAATCCTAAATGAATGAGGAAGAGTCTTCCTACCCCGATACATCACATATCTGTCAGTTTGTCATACTGTGATGGTTTGTGTGTTGCTGTGATGCTGGAAGCTATGTCACTGGTACTTTAAATGCCTGCAGGGTCACCTGAAGTGAACAAGTTGCAGCAGAGCTTCCAGACTAAGATCAGACTATAACAAAGGAAAAGGCTGCCCACTTCAGAGGGAATAGCAACTGATAAACTTAGTGATAGCATTGAAACATTGTCAGATACTGAAGACAGAGATACAGAAGCAGAACCTTGTTAGAGATAGTGCCAGAATACGAGCCCCTCAGATGAGATAGCACTCAAAATATAAAGGAGGGAGAGCTGTATTCTCAAAGTAGACTCACCCACAATGATGTGAATGGAGCAGAGCCTATGGGACTAAGGCCTTTGAGAAATTCATTTGCTGATGAGGCACTACTAAAAATGAGAAGAAATACCCTGTTTCCCCGAAAATAAGACAATGTCTTATATTAATTTTTGCTCCCAAAGATGCGCTAGGTCTTATTTTCAGGGGATATCTTATTTTTCCATGAAGAAGAATACGGTACACATTTATTGTTGAACACACAGAA